CAGTGTTGGAAGGTAGAAAGTAACTTGAATAAATTTATTATACAATACGATTTTATTTGCACATAATTTTTTTAAAAAAATTAATTTCATATTTTCTCTTATATATCTGAGGGGGGCAAGTTATCTGAGACCTGATACTAATGTTTTTCAATTCATACCTTTCATAAATTTCTTCATGAAACAGCCCAGATAATTGGATTTCCAAATTGAACAATGGATAGATGGATTTCCAACTAATGGAGGTTCCACAGTATTTACTATATAACTAGCAAAAATTCATTATTCATCAAACAAAATGATGGTAAATAGTCTGAGGGGATTCTGGCTTATTTGGTGTAATTAAATAAAACTGATAACTAGAGGCAGATTTCGATGACCTAAAATATTGGGAAAAATGCTCAAAAATGATTTTAAAATGCCCTAAAAGCAAAGAAAAATGACATAAGTCTATCAAAACTAGTTTATCTGAATATTTTGCTGATGGAATCTAAGCTTCTTCCTTTTGTTCAGGTGAAATCCGCTTGCAAGCTTTTGGTTTGGCATGTTCTTTATCAGGCAATGCCTGACTTTATATATCTGCGAAAACTTGGCCAAACTGCTGACAGGCACCACAGATTACATACTCAAAACAAACTACATTACAATTTTTGAGGAAAGAAATTAAATACGCTACTCAGGAATTCTGGAACTGGATTCTGGAAATACACTACTCAGGAACAAATATTAAAATCAATGAAATCAGCAGGAAATGTTTTAAAGATGACAGAAAAAGGTAAAAATGTCCTAAAAGTTGAAATCAATGAAAAATACAAAATCATATAAAAATGGGTCATGTCCTTTTGCCAAAACATGTCCAATTTCTTCCTCTCTTTCTTATGTTCCGGATACTCTCTCCTCAACTCTTTATGACAACTAGCAGCTGGGAAATTTCTCACACATCATATGGACATATGGCTTTATCTTTTTTCAATTAAAAACATTTTGTTTCTGGAGCGTGGAGGACGGAAATTATTTTTCACCCAAACTATTACAAAGATGACAATTCCACTGTGGTTGGCTAATATGGAAGTTACGATTATTTGAATTTGGTCCATTTTTTAACAGTATATAATTCTTTACTCAAAATTCAATTTAAAAATGTGTTTTCTGCATTTACACTGAATGTAAAATTACATATTTGTCTAGTGATCTTGTTGGTGATTAATCCACAACTGAGTGTATTATGCAAATCTTTATACAAAGTGTTTGAACAGAAATCTACTACACTGAAACCTGTCAATAGACAACATAATGATAAATTGTGACTAATGTACAAATTGTTTCAGGAGTAATTTACAGAAAATTGAATAAGATTTTCAATGTAACTTTTTATAAAAAGATAAATAATATTAATAAAATAATTCCTAAAAAAGTTCAAATTTGGCTATTTTTATTTTGAAAAATGAAATGTGACTTTCTTTAATGACAAAAAATCTTAGAAGCTTCCAAAAATGACTAAACATGAGAAATATGATTCACAAGCAGCACTGCATAAAACCAGGAGAAGTATTCAGGAAATTAAGTGGGTAACAGACAGACAGGAACACAGGAATGAAGAGAAACACTGATAAAAACATTAATTCAGGTAGACACACCCAAATGTGGCACTTGAAAACATTCACAACAGAATTGTGACTAAGCAGTATACAATGGCAAAATGATAAGCAGTCTTATACATTTTTTAACACATCAATTTTACTCTCACTAGTAACTCAACACCAAAAAATTAATTTATTTTAGTATAGATGCTTTCTTCTTAAAGGTCTACTCTGCACCACAAAATAAAATTATGTGAGTGATTTTCTTAGCATGGTGCTTCATACACATCAACTTTAACCTGAAGATGAAATAACTAAATAAAATGATTTGAACTGACGATTGAAACCAAGTTACTACAAAATGTTAAATAATAATAATAATAATAATAACAACAAAAATACTGACGATACTGTAACCTAGACAGCCGTATCAAAATAACGAAGTCTATTTTAGGCACCGAGGAAAATAAAAGAGAAATTTAATTAGAAATGCATAATAGTATCAAAACACGCAAGTTAGATAAGACTGGAGTTCTGAAATTCATACATTATCGTTTAAAATCTATTCGCGATTCGAATGATCAATTATTACAACTGACATTAAAAACTCACCGAAAAACTTATCAGCACCATCGTTCTCTCCAAATGAAGTGATAAAATCGACGTAGGGCACATTATATTCGTATGACATAATTACTTTTATTGCTGCAGACTGTTTCACAAATTAATAAAGCGTAATAGCCACAATGCAAAGAAAACACCGGCACTCGACTCCTTCACGCTTGTTCCCGCTCCTTCTTAACTATGTTCAAATCGTAACCGATGTCAAGAAATACGAAACAGTTTCACCAACCTATAAATAATTTTGAAACCATAACAAATTTTGATAACCTCTTAGCTTTCTGTAAAGTTAAGCTTGCGTAAATAAATCATACCGAGTATGCTCTCCTACAACATACACATTCAATACAGTTCTCATAACAAGTGTAATATTTATAAAATACAACTACGTTGTTTACTATTTTGGTTTTGGGAAAAGGTGATATTGGCAAAACACATTAATGTCATAATGACATGTAACCAATCACAGGCAAAACAATGTTGCCATGGAAACGGCGTACCATGCAAGTGGAAAACAGTGAGTTCATGAAATGGTGCACACCATCCTGTCAGAATAATGGACAAGTTTTACTTGGCACTGAGTTTTTATCATCGACGGAAATGCGAGGAGTGTGCTGCCATTTGTACGGAGTTACTTGAAAAAAATCCTTATGATCAAGTATGTTGACATTTATATTAATCTGTGTAATACATAGTATTTACTAGTTATATTTTCTTTACTTTTTAAATTTCTGAAGGCTGTATGGACACTGAAAATGAGAGCTCTTACTGAACAAGTCTATGTTGATGATATTGAAGCAGAAGAAGAAGGTTTAGCAGAAGTTTTATTTGATAGTGACACTATTGCTGTAGTTGCAAGGCCTGGAACGTCATTGAGAACAGCAACAACTACAGCAGGACCTATGCAAACATGCAGGTAATTTAAAAGATAATACCTTGTTTGACTAAATGTTGAGTATACAGTCCTGTTTGAAGTAAGGCCTGGGGTGAGTTCCCCATTGTTGAACCTTATGTTGTCAAATTCTGTACACCTGACACTGGTCCTTTTGTCCTAAACATAATGACATTGGCTTGAGTATTCTCTCAATGGACACTTCGCACTTTTGCATCTATCACAAAACAATACACAGGGAAAGTGGCAAAAGATTTTTCACCTTTCAGGTATGAGCTGGGTTATTTCTTGAAGGGTATTTTCACGGACAATAATCCCTCCTTAAACAATCTTTATCAAGGGTGCTCGAGGGTAAAACCAATGAGTCACAAAGTTTGCCAGCAAGAAATTTGTCTTTTTGACTTCTGATTATTACTCTTGGGAGAAAAAATAATCAATATTCTGTCTACTAAATGTGGGAAACTCATAAGGGTAGAAAATGCCTATTATGTGTATAATAGTATTCCAGACAGCCCAAATTCTTTTATGAGATTGTTATCTTCCAATAGGGTTCATCTGTATTGATGTCACCTGTCAGTAGAGACAGTTTTGCACTTTCAAATTTGTTGGTCTAATGCAAATGAAGGATTATGGCTAAAAATAATCAGTCACATTCCCTCATTCTCCAGAATTGTGTTTTAGAGTTTGAATTTTATATTCTAATCTTTGAATTTTGAACCTTGAATTTTCCCTCTTTATTTAGTACATTACGGTTATCTTTTTCGGTGAATCATTTTTTCCTTCTGTTCATACAAAATGGCACTGCAAACTCATTTTGATTAAATATGGATTTTTATCATTTTTATCCACCATGGTATGGTGGTTTTGGAAATTTAATGTTCTTTATCATAGTTTCCTATCTTATATGGAGGTTGGAATTGCGTTCTTCTATTTTTAACACAAGCTATTGTTAAATCATCATATTTAAATTTGTTCTTTATGTTATTACTAGGAAACTTTGCTTGTTAAATATATGTTTGTCATAAAAACTTACAAATTCAAAATTTACATTCAGAAATGAGTGGAACAGTGTACCAACTCCTACCTTTTGCTCTAGTATGAAAATGAAAGCTGTTTCAACTCTGGGAGAAGCCTGTTTCCTTGAAGTTTCAGAAATTATTTGCATTTTTTGTCTTTTGTGAAATGAGCAGTACTGTTCAGCTGCAGTGTTTGTAAATAATTCTGATAACTAGAGACAGTTTGTGAAATGAGTAGTAGTGTTCAACTGCAGTGTTTGTAAATAATTCTGATAACTAGAGACAGGATTTCCATGCTCTATCAAATGCTAAAAAATGCAAACATGCATTTTCTAATATCCAAACATGCATGATGCAGAATAAAAATTGTCAAAACATGCACAATCAAATTTTAGTGTAGTATATTTCCTGATTTATTGTCTTTTGTAACAATTTACAATTTTTCTCAATTTTACTCTGTCAAATTAGTTTTGTCAGAAACAAACGGTTTTAAATGCAGGAAATGCTTTCTAGGACACGTGATGTAATTGGAGCATACATACTTCAAAGATGAAATTTGAGCTAATGTGAAGTGAGATTCTGCATTTTCTGAGAAATTTCCAGTTTGAATTTGAATTTAACACTTATATAAATTTTCCTCAGCAGCAGCACGCACAACTTCAAACACAAATTCCAAAGACATTTTAATGTCTTTAACAAATTTTAATTAGAGGTAAACCTGCTGTTTCTAATTTCTGAATTGCTATAGGTAATTTTACAAAATCGGATTTTATATATTGTTGATGTTTTTTACAGACATGGTTTTTCAGACTTACTTCAATTATTTTTTGCACACAAGCAGTCTGAGAGTCTGCTCTTGATATTTTTTTCTCATGGTTGTCAGTTATCAAATGATATTAAGTTACATCTTCATGTATCTTTTGTTACTTAATCAGAATTGATTCATTCCACTATTGAGGCTCACAGAGCATATATCTGCTATACAATCATAGCTTGTGTACAGGAGTGTTAAAATGTCTAGAATAACAATAAGCAATGGTAACTCCATACTGTCAGGATCTAAGTAAAATATGCTATTTATACTAAATATTTGTCAATTTTAATTTTCCCAAATTATTCAAAAATAGCATTAGAAAAGTGTGTAAATAGTGATTAAAATGTCTAAAAAGTGACATAGATGTCAAAATATGCAATATTAATTGAAAAATGTCCAAATGAATGAATTTCTCCCCAAAACATGCAAACATGCATGAAAAAAGAAAGTATTTTTAAAATTAATATGCCATGAAAAATACATTTACAAAGTTTGCCAGCTCATTTAAACGTAAAAAAAAACATGCATTTTCATGGGCATCCTGTCTCTACTGATAATACTTCAGCAGTGCTGAGCTTCTGGAGAAATGCTCAGGGATGCATGCTCTCTAACAGTTTAAATGCTCAGAATAAAAAAAATAGGCAATAGGCAGAAAATTTATGTATCTATGACATGATTAGCAAAAAAGAGAAATAAAATAATATTTCATTTACATTTGAAATAGTTTGTCTGCTAGGTACTTCTTTTATATTGATTCTTTATTAGATGTGATATATAATCTGAATTATTGTAAGGTACATGATAAAATTAGATTTTGCGAGTATTCTTATGCTTTACATGTTAATTGTTGGCAATATGTCAGTCTGAGAGAACCACTGAACATTTTTCCAAAAAATTAGCACTGCTCTTCAGCATAGTCTCATATTTAAAGCAAATGTAAATAGTTAATGGTTTTTAATGATCCAAGATCTAAAATAATTTATAAATAAGAATATAATGTGCTGAGTTTCTTTTTGATTCTATATTTTAGAGTAACATTCTAAGAAGGGAATATCAGACCTGAGAATGGTTTTCTTCTAATTATTAATTTGACATCATATAACATACTATTGATTATTGTTACAATTAATTTTCTAGGGATATTTTGGAATAAAAGCTTTGATTTCTCATTTCTATCAACAAAATGCAACCAATTTGCGGTTTATATCTTGGGAGTCTGATTGGCAGAATATTTAATAAAAGTTATTTTGACTTTTTCATATCGGGTTTAGAAGGAAAATTAAAAATTTTTGAGATAACTAGTGTCATGCCTAAAAATCCTCCCCTTTATTGATTAGTTTGAGATACAGCAACAATGTATGGTTGGATTTTCAAGTCAATACCAGCAGTGTTATTGCTTCCTCTGAACATCACTGAATTTTAATTAATGTTCAATATGTTCTAGGCCCCGTACACAGACCGGTCGCCCCTTGAGTGGTGTGGTGCGCCCTGGAACTCAATCAGGCCGCCCTGGGTCACTTGAGCAAGCTTTGAAAACTCCTAGAACTGCAAAAACTGCTCGACCTATTACATCGCAGTCTGCACGTACTGTGAGATTGGGTACAGCATCAATGCTCACTGAACCTGGTGGACCATTTATTCAGTTATCTCGCCTTAATCTTGGCAAATATGCTTCACAACCAAATGTGGCAAGGCCATTATTTGAATACATTTTTTACCATGAAAATGATGTTCGACATGTAAGTATTTTCTTACGCATGGGAGTCATTGTAGGGTAGGAGGGTCTGGTGGAGCGGGGCACGTCTCTCGAATATTTTCACCCAGTATTTTTTATTATCATTTCATTTTCTTACTATTAACGATGAATGGTGTAGTCTTATCTTCCCTGCAGTACGTTTTGAAGTAGATGTATGGATTGGCCATTGTGAGAACTCTTTTGACTTCTCTATGGGCTCGTCGGCCTGTCGTCGGCTTTCCAGTAAAGACTTCTTCGAGCTTTCCAGTTTAGTCCCAACTACCTCTATTACACGCGCACGTTTTCATAAGGCCGTATTTCACAAGTTGCGAGATGAGTGGGGGGTTGATTACATAGTCGTTTCTTATGGAAAATAGTGCTTTGATTTCAAATTTGCAGAGCATTTATTTGTAACGGGGAAGGTTTCTTTGTAATATGAGATTACAAATTTCACACTGTTGTTAAGTGATTGGGTGTATTTACTTTACTTACACATAATAATCTCAATCCAAACGTACTTTTGAACGATTGTTTACTGCATTTCACCAGAAAAACGTCTCTTTTTAGTGTCCTGCAATAGTCTGCAAGCATACTTCGATTCCATTTTCCCTAGTAACGGTTTTCCATTGTTCTAATATTGGCGGAATCACTCATGTTTGTCGCTCAGAGCGGCGAGATTTTCAGGACCTGAATTTATATGATTTGACCGGTCTGGCGTCTATTTCATGTATTTTGTGAAATTTACAATATCATGTGTCGTTGGCAACCACTACCTTCTAATAAATACGCCAGCGATTCAGCATAAACGACAGGTAATTTTCTGTGAAATATATTATTGTTTTAGTATATGTGCGATTACACAAAAACCGAGTCCGGTGGGAAACTTGTATGGTTGTATTCGGCTTTAGCGTAGGAAACTATAAGAAACCGCTACAGTTCGCGATTTAACAAAATCGGTGTCGACCAGTGTTATTTCGTCGACAGGACTATTATATCAAATCTATAGCTCGTTTCTCATTGCAAAATACCCGGAAATTACTCTGAAGTGAGCATATCTGGATATCAGATTATGCCAACAACGCTTCTTGCAATAATTTATACTGAATTCAACCAATGTTAGTAAAGGAGTGGGAGTATGTGTTCCAGGGCTCAAGAAAACGTGCGCGCATAATAGACAAACCCTTACTAGTAGGTTTGTTCCAGCAGGAGTCGGAAACAGTCCCGAACTAGTCCGCGCGTGCGCAGTCTAGTATTGGGCGTTCCAGCAGCAGCAGCAGCAGTCAGGGATTGTGACTGGGAGTTCCAGCAGGGTTGCTGATTAGTTTGAAACCAGTCCGAATCAGTTCGTGAACTCTCCCTCAAACTAGAAATCCGCGCATGCGTACTTCGGTCCACGAGTTCCCGCCAAACACCAAACTTCGAAAACGCGCCATTTACGTTTCCATCAGGTTTCTGCATAGTTGTTTTATATTGTGCTCTATATATTTTGACCCTGCTTTGTTTTACATTTTATTTCTTGGTTTTTGATGATTTCGCTTTCTTTCGGATTTTTCTCGTGGATATTGGTATTGACCTTGCTTTATTTTACGTTTCATTGATTTTCTAGTGTTTTTTTCAGGTATCGTTCTAATCCCGTGCTTCTTTAAAATTTATTTTATTTATTTATAGTTAAAACGATGGGAAGGGATTCTGGCGCTCAAGAAAACATGCGCAGACCATCTCCTCCATACGTCACATATACAATTTTTTACCTTTTTTTGACTAAATCAATTAAATTTAGATTCTTGGATTTTGGTGAGTTAGCTATCTTTCGGATTTTTTTGTGGATATTGGAACTTGATTGTTTCTTTTTTTGGGAAATGGAAGGTAAGTAATTTTAAGGAAGTTCCTTGCATCGCGACCTACTAAATATGTATGTAGTTATTTACCGTTCTGTATTAGTAGCGTAATCTCTCATTTTTAAGAAAAATACAAATAACCGAAATCAAAAAGAATAATCAAAAACAATAGCGCAAGTCACAGTTTAGCAGGTTCCAAATCTGTAGCTGATAGCAAGGTCAAGAAAATAAGCAAGCAATTATGGAGAAACGTAAAGCACAAGTGAAGACCACAGGAATACCAGGAACTAACCAGGGTCAGGTCGCTCTGATTTTTACATGCAATACAAAAATTAAATCTGCCGGAGAATTCTGCAACTACCGATGAAACGAAAGCAGCGGCATCTAGAGTTATTTGTCTTGTGCTAGCAAATATGACTCGGAATTAACGGTTGTGTGATACATTGGAATGAAACTTATAAAAGAAAAGAATAGATGGTGGGTTTATCCCACTAATAGCAAGCGGCTTTTGAAGGTAATATTTTACACCTTCAGATTTTATACATCGACAGTGAGACATTTTTAAAAATTATTTCGGAAAGTGTGAGCCATCGTTCAGAGAAGTACTTTAGAAATTTCACGATCATATTAAACGGCGAGATACCAGTGGATGGTGTGGTATATCACCACAAAAAATTCTTGCATGTGCACTTTATTGATTAATTTTTCAATGCCGAATCTATTCATTTTATGAATGGGGAACCGTACACTATGCTGCTCCTTCCACGTGCGTATAACGTACGCCGCTAGTAATTCATATGCCCTGCAGGCTATGGATGCCTAAGAAGTTACAACGTCTGTCATGAACAACGTACACTTTCTAGAACTTAACGTCCGTTGGCTGCTACGCGACGAACGTCACTGAAGCGCGCTAGTGTACCACGGCCCATATGTATGTCTGCTGCTCTACCACTGAGGCTTTAACGTCCGTCATATGACGCGCATGTGTCGCCAGCCTCAAATTGTCAATTGAGATGATTTGATCGAAAGTATCTTGGTTATGTAATTGTGTTTAATTAAGAGAGCAATAATTAAGGGGTGTCTTACAATCACCAAACGAGTCCAAAATTCCATATTTTGAAATATTTCACCAAGTTATTCCCTAAAACTGGCGCTATCTGCTGGGACATGCCCTTTCGGCCAATGCCAAACACATTGAAAGATATAAAGCGGAGAAAAATCATACATTAATTACAATGCACGTCTACACTGTGATGTTTTTGGTGCCTGTAGAAAAATCTCAAATTTAAACTAGTTTGGATCTTGTAAGAAACTATTAAATTGTATTAACTTCCTACGTTCAGGTTAGGAGGTTTAACAGACAAAGAATCTTGTCTGTTAAAAGAGGTGTCCGTCCGTAAGCAAGAATTGTTAACTTATATAGTTGTTAATTTTTTAATATTATTGCTAAATTCAACAAATAACTGAACGATTAAAATGAATGACGAAAAACATAACACAAAAAGAAAACAAGGAAAGAGTTCGCCATTAAATATATTCCTGCGCCTTAGCAAAACTGTTTATACAAGGTAAAATTTACAAAAAATCCACATGAAATATAATAAAACTAGTGGTGCTAAAACAGCACGTACTTTCTTGCCATTAGTAATGGTTATGTAATTCTATTTATACCACAATTTCTCTCCGAATAATTTTTTGTAAATCTCAATTAAAATCGTAGAACATTTGATGTGAAATATAAGCAGCGTGCAAAAATGTAAACTTATTAAAAGTTAATAAATGTGATAATGATAGCGTTGGTAAACAAATAGATTGAAAAACATATAATAGTAACTTTAAACACTATGGTATTATAATATTCTACAAATATAAAAAAGTATTCGTTTTTATTACCGCGAACCAAAAGCAGCCGTCATTATCGCCTTCCATTATCTGTGAGAGTTTACAACAACGGGTAACAAAAACCAACAATGACCGCTCATCTATTGGTTTTCACATTTAACACAATTAAAGGATGCAAGTAAGATGAAATTACATAAATATAATAAAAATATAATGAATAACTTACGTAGCATCCAACTGCGTAAATTGGGAGAGGGTGACTGAAGGCTAGCAATCCTTATTTCAAATGTTTTAAATAATTTCAGTAATATTAATTTGTAAATGCATAAAAAAACTCTAATGTAAGAAACTAACAAAGAAATATGAAAGAATACACATATTCTAACTTACATAGTATCCAACTGTCTCAAAACACTTCTAAAATTACGATCAAGAAGCGCAGCGCGGGCTACTAACTTTGACGTCAATTACTCCAAACATACTCATATTTTCAAAAAATTCAACATGACAGTTGAAAATCTGTTTTTGCTGAACACATTTCATTAAGAAAAAAGATGCGAATGAGAATAGCATGAGATCTGTGCTATTCTCTTAAATGTCATTGAGACTATCCAACAACAAATATTAATCAAAATTTTTTGAAAATGTCAGAGGTGTTTCATGTAAAGTACCTTCAAAATTAAAATACCGGTTTCAAATTGAAGGGTCGCGACATTAGCCAGATCGATCAGGGAATATCAGTTTTGGAGAAATTTGGCTGAACAGTTAGCCGCTAGCGTTGTTCACTAACAGACGCTTTGCCGTCAATCGAGTTTTCGGTATCAAGGACCCATAAAATAGGGATTCTGGGTACACCACGTGTTAGAGGATTTTTTCTAAATAAGCAACTGGATTTACACATCTTTTCGTTACCAGGACCATGTAACAAGAATTTTTCTTCCGAAAATTCGCTGTTTTTTCGCGCAGTATTACCTAACATTTTCTTCTTAAGAAGTTCCTTCTTAAGCTTGAGAAAGTAAAATAGTATAGAATATAGGCAAAGGAAACAAGGATTCAAATCTCTTGTTTTGTTTAATAATTTAATTTGTTTAATAGAACAAATCTGGCAAACATTTTCGTATGAAGCCAATATTCCACGCCTCGCGGCGCTACAGCTTGCGTATGTACACCCCTTTCTGAATTTTGAGGGGATGTAAGAGCGGAGTCAGGGAAAGTAGCCCGTGTTCGCTGGAGCACCGGGCAAGTAGCTCGTGCGGGCGCAGTTTGACATGCCTGCGCTACGGGAAACGGATAGCGTCTGGCAACTGACTTCTCGGGTGACACTTGTGTGAGTTTCCGGGTGCGTCAACTGCTAAGGCCATTAGTCTCGTAGGTGTAGTGCATGTTGCTTTTTTCCGGGAGGTGGCGGTGATCATCTGCCGCTGGATGGTGAGACCCGGCGCCGACCTGTCAGCTTGTGCGGTTTTCCCCAACCAGGGGGCACCGCTGGTGTTTCTCACCAGCGTGGCACCGCTCCAACCAGAACAAGCTCTAAGCAAGTGTGATAGTGTAGTGCATGTGAATATAAGTATGTATACAGGCGTGAAAATAGGATAAGGAAGAGGAAGGAAGGATTGCGCGCGTTTGTGGCCCGATCGGGTATTGCTCCGGCATTCACCTGGAATTGATTGGAGAAACCACGGGAGACTACCAATCAGAGTAGCCGACCTAGTACAGTCTCCTCCAGACAGCGGCTGAATTCGATCTAGCTAGTGTCGAAAATCCTGCCACCGTCGGGATTCGAACACTAGGGCCTCCCGGTCAGAGGCACTGCAGTGACATGAATTGATGCCCAGCGCCACCTAAGCCGATGGGTGATACTCAAAATCCGGGACATGGTCGTACTGTCCTCACTCGTACTTTCACATTTTTACTTACATGCACAACACTATCGTACATGTCGGGAGCTTAGAGCTTGCCCCGGCTAGGTCGTTGCCTCCGTGATGGAGATACTTGGTTTGGAAATACCCCGCTAGCTGACGTGTAGGTCGGTGCCAGACCTCACCCTCTAATAGGGGGAAATCACCATCACCTCCTGAGGAAAAAATGCACCACACTTACGGTTGGTTGGTAGTTAATGATACCAGACTCGTCAACTAATGCGGTCATTAGTCTTGTAAGTGTAGTGCATGATTTTTCCTCGTGAGGTGGCGGTGATTTCCCCCGCTGGATGGCGAGATCCGGCGCCGACCTACCGTCGGCTAGAGGGGTTTCTCCTAACCATGTATCTCCCACGAACGGGGCACCGCCCCAGCCTTGAGTTCTCGACCGGTATCCCGGCATATGTAGTAGTGTAGTGCATGTTAGTACAAGTGTGTATAAAGGATAAGGATATGGCAAAGAAGAGGGAGGAAAGATCACGCACGGTCAGTGGCCCGTTTGTTTGGATACTACTCCGACATTCGCCAGTTGTTGATCGGAGCAACCACGGAAAACTACCGGTCAGAGCAGCCGGCCGGTAGAATTCTGTTCCAGTCATCGACTGAATTCGACCTACCTGACAACCTAGTGTCGAGAATCTTGCCACTGTCAGGACACGAACCTATGACCTCCCGGTCAGAGAGACAACAGTGGCATCAGTTGAGCCACCTCTCCCGGTACTACACTTAAGGGACTAATGTCCTTTGCAGTTGACGTGCAAAAACGAAGTAATCAATCAACCAACCTTCACGACGTGTGACACGAACACCAGTATCTCTATAGATTCGCGTGTTGTTGGGAAGGGTGAACATGGGGCCTAGTAAATTGACAGCGAGTCGAATTCAGTAGCGACTCCCACTTGGAAGCCGCGATCACCGGATCCATTGCTGGATGCGTTTCGGGGACGCCACAAACAGCGGTTTGTTGTATCTTATCACAATCGCTTGATTTGATGCAATTTGGAGTGTTATCCTGTGGTGCGTGTTCATCAAAAGTTCCTTGCGAACATCGTTACAGCCGTACGGGACGTTCGGGTGCCCATGCAAACGGTGGCAATGCCGTTCGTGCACGTCCACATCTTTTTCCAATTTCAACAAGACAACGCTCACCTCTCGTTGGCACGATCTGAGCTTGCATTGCAGCTGTGGATACTCTGCTATGATTGGTCGCATCGCCACACCCCTTCCAGATCAAAAACTTGTGGGGTCCAATGGGGCGAGTGATCAGGACTCCACTCCTGCCCTCCAATGTGCGCAACGTCGCCCTCAGGGGCAAGCTGCATGGAATGGACTAACACAGTATTGAATTGAGACGTGAAAAACTATGCCATGACTGGTCGCGTGTGTTCGCCAAAATGGCGACCAACGCCATGACTACCTATACTTTCTGTTGTCATATAGCGCAATGAACGTTGGTCCTACTAATGTGAAAGTGTTATCCTTGTGTGTGTGTGTGTGAAACCATCCATGATGAAAAGACTTTTCTTCATGACTTTTCATCATGGTACAATCTATCTGTCTGCCAACAATGATCGCAATCCGCTTTAACTTTCTGTGTGCAGTGTTTTTATATTTTCATGAAAACTAATATTTTAAAAAAAATATATCTACATGAAATGATTTAAAGATATAATATTGGCGAATAGATTGTTTGAAGAAAGACATCTTTTGCTTCAATATTGAAGATGTTTGACAGGTTAAAAATTCAACTTTTGGAATTTTTTGAAATTCCTAAGGTTTTATGAAAATCGGACCTATGCCATATTATTTGGTGGTGGCTATATTCGAGCAAAATATGTAAAGAAAGAATATGGAGAAAATGAAGGCTTCTATTAAAATTACGAAAATCTACTCATATATTGGGAGGGGGATTTATATAACATAATTTAAAAATCTAATTTTGAAAAACAGATTTCATTACGAAAAATCTTTATTCAAAAGTTTCAATGTGCATAATAATATGAAAAAGGCTCAGAAGGTTGTTTTTCGTAAAAACTACTATATAAATGAAACGATCAAGTAAACATGGATTTGTAATAAATGTACATACAAATTTCAATGATACACATTTGATGTAACATTGCACCACTTGGCTAGCACCTTGTTCATTATGATGATCAAATTCACTTCATTAATAACTATTAGCATACAGTAATAATTTATTACCATGTTGGAGTAAGTGTAACTACGAACCAACTCGTACCAAGTTGTTCAAGACTTTGTCTTTTCCATTTAATGTCTCTCTATCTGCGTCATATACAAGTCTCTGTTGCCAAGTCTGTTCATTTTGATGTTTTTCCTTTCCCCTATTTCATTTCTGGTTCATTAATATGAATAGCATTATACTGAAATATCACCCTGTTACACACTCGCACTCATTTTGAAAGTATAGTTTTGTTGTCCATTGTATCTTGCGTGTATTTTTTATTTACAAGTCTTAAATGCTTAATTTTTACAATTTATTGTTGTATTTGTTGTTCTTTACATATTTGTCTTGTAGTGTTTCAGATATATTATTCAATATTTCAGAGCTTATAATTTATATTGTAAATTTTTATCATGTGTAAATATTGCTAAAGGAGTCAACTTGATATCTAATTAAATTAAACAACAAATAAAAGTAATAATCCTGAACTTCTCACAACAGGCAATGGAATTGGCAGTGCAAGCGACACAAGCATGCCAATTCAAGGATTGGTGGTGGAAAGTTCAGCTGGGCAAGTGCTATTTTACTTTGGGATTAATGCGTGATGCAGAGCAACAATTTCGTTCAGCATTAAAGCAACATCAAGTAGTGGAAACATTCTTGCGCTTAGCCCGTGTATATGTACGTTTGGATCAGCCTTTGTCTGCTTTAGATGTATGTAAAACTGGTCTTGAATACTTTCCTAAAGAAATAACACTCACCATGGAAATTGCAAGGTGTGTGTCTGTTTCCTTTTCACACTTATATATATACGATACAGGACACGTTTGCGTAAGAGAGGATAAGTATTTGTAGTAATGATTCATAGCAATGTTACAATATTATTATCAAATGTTATAGGCTGTTTGAAGGACTGAATAATATACCGTTATCTGTAAAATATTATAAAGAGCTTCTACAAGAAGATTCTACTCATGTAGAAGCTATTGCGTGCATAGGAATGCAACATTTTTATACAGATCAACCTGAGGTAGCTTTGAGATTTTACAGGTAATGTCTGTAATAATACCCTATTGTAGTAGTACACTTGTTTGTGATGAATAGTAATGTTGAAATAGTTTTTGATGTAATTATAATTATTCTATGCAGGCATCTATTGCAGATGGGAATTTATAATGCAGAACTGTTCAACAATTTGGGATTGTGCTGTTTCTATGCACAACAATATGACATGACTCTTACTTGTTTTGAACAAGCTCTTAGTTTAGCAACTGATGAGTCTGTGGCAGATGTGTGGTATAATATTTCACATGTTGCAGTGGTAAGTAATGGATATAAAAGCACTTAGCAGAAGACAATTTGCTGACGCTTACCATCGAAAACTTTCTGTTTAGTTCATAAAAAAGTTTTTATATATTTACATAATATTAGTTATTCCTTTTTTGTCCCAATTTCTCCTGAGAATTTTTAAGTCATAGTAGTTTATTAAAATATCTGTTCAAAACATATAATTCTGAATTGCATGTGTCTGAAAGAAGGATCAATGTTACCCACTAGGTGAGGAAGGCCTTTAAAGCAAAAAACGGTTTATGTCTCCCTCAAATATTTCTGAGGTAGAACACACGGTTTCTTTCATCTAACTGCAGTTTGCAGAACATGCCCCTATCATATACACTATTAGTTGTATTATCTAGTTTATTACATAAAAAAGTATAGTATGTGTGACATATGAGAAGTAAACCTGCAATATTACTGTCCAGATACAAACCAAATGTCATCTCACTATTCATTTTGATAATTGCTATCAAACTAAATGAAAACCATGATCAGATAGAATGTCATATAAATACACATCCTCCATTATGAAGTAATACTCCTTTCACAAAAACGATTGCATTGTAAATATATTAAATACAGTATTGGCAGATTTCAGTTTAACAAATATGGGCCAGCAATGATCACAAGGGTGACATGCTTTTATTTAATACAGTTCATTTCTACAACCTGAAAGTCTGCAAGGTTAATGAATTTCCTAAAATGTTAAGCCATATTTCAGATATGAGTGCATAATATTTTGGAAGTATATAATACAGTATTGGATAATACATGCAGGATGTAATTTGATGGCTAACTGAATTGATGCGACTTCTAAAATCATTAACAGGATGTTCATAATTTAGTTCCATCAAATTATTTTATCTTTTCATATTTGATTGAATTGAAAGTCCTAAAGTTTGAATCTGAATGAACTGTTCCTTGGTGTTGCAAAGGGTATCTTCATATTTGTTTTGTAAATGTTAAAATTAAATGACAAGGTCCTTTTATTTATTATGGAACAAATCAAAAATGTAACAAGCTTCAGGCATAGTTACTTGTATTAAATTTTTCTTTCACAATGCTGTTTTACTAATTATTAACTAATAATAAATTAATAGTTAACTCTAATTATAATTAGGGTGAGTTATTAATTTGTTAACAAACACTTATTACTATATTGGAATCATACTGTCTACATTTTTTTTTAAATCGTAAAATCCCCATAGAACCTCATGTGAAATTTTTTACGACAAAACGAGTTTCCATGCTTCACAGGGGCTAGTCCAACCCCTGTGAAGTGTCCTAAACCCAACCCCAATCCTAATTCCCTCTCAATTCTGGCCGCTGATTAGTGATTCAGGAGCGCGTAGTAGGAGGCGCTACTTGGTACACAGAGATGCTACTTGGCATGAAGCTTTTGACAACTGACTACGACGAGACCAGACAGATATGACAAGACATATATGAATTAATGGAAGATTACTCTGGAAGCGCAAAGTGCTCAATGCCCCATGGGGCTTAGAGATGCATTGCGTCAGTGAAAGGTCACCAAATTTAAAAAAAAAACACCTTTGATATCAGTAAAAAGAATATCTGATAAATGTGTATATTTAAATCGTGTATATGTAGAAGTTGCAGTCTAGTCAGGAGCATAACACATTCAGTGATACCATGGTAGTTTTATTCATTATGGGTCCAAATTTCTGTTGAAAAATGATATTTTTAAAACATTGTATAGTATTATTGTAAAAGAAAGTTTCATTAATTAAACATTTTTTCTTAAAGGGAGTAGGAGATACAAATTTAGCAGGTCAGTGTCTTCGATTAGCTCTGAGTGCTGATAGCAATCATGCTCCTGCATATAACAATTTAGGCGTTTTGGAAATGAGACGGGGCCATCCAGAACAAGCTCGAGCCTTTTTTCAAGCAGCTGGAAGTTTAGCACCATATCTGTTTGAACCACATTACAATTATGCTACATTAACCGAAAAGGTCAGTTAAAGTATTTCTCTAGTTCTTAACTTTAATCATTTGGATTCTGAAGGCTTTTCTTTTTATCCTGTCATGATACTTTTAAAACCTCTAGGTTTCACTTAATGTTATTTATCTTTGATATATTAAGTCTCATGTTTTTTTCACACCTTTACAAAGTTTTTCATTCTTAGTTTATATATTTGATAGAAATTTGTTCTATGTTTATTTTCCAATTTTTGTGAAGTAATTTTGCACTTTGACAATCATTTGTTTTCATACAATCTTACATTATTTAAATTCTGCAAATGATTACTCCTGCCATTAGGCAAATATTATATTATTTTTTATCTATTTTCCAGATGGGTGATTTACAAACTAGTTACATTGTTATTCAAAAAGCATTACAGGCCTATCCTAGTCATGTGTGTTCAAAAGAACTTTTAAAGGTTCTCCAGACACATTTTTCATTTATTTAACATTAATTGTGTATTAGTTTGATAATATTAAAATATCTCTGTCTGAGATCCTTGCAGATTTATATTTAGTGTACTCCTTTCAAATAATCATGTGATCATGACCTGACATCTTCTCTTTTCTACTTGAGCTATTGAGGACATTTAAAACATGTTCAAAAATTAATTTTGGTCCAATAGAATTGTAAGTTTTATCAGTTGTTGTTACAAGCTCCCATAAAAAACAACCACTTTTTTATCAATTCCTTAGATCACAAATTATAAATTGTTACTGTTGATATGTTTTTATGAATGTAAAGATATATTTATAGAATTAGTGTTGTTAAATTTGTAATAACATACGTATCCTATTTATTGTATTTGGACATTGGCTTTAAATATGTATGTATTGTATGTGTCACAATATCACTACTGAATTTACTTCCATCTATTAAAAAGTGTACAGAACAGCAATGAGGAATTTTGAGTTATAAGAACATTATTGATATTACATCCCATAAAGTTTATTTAAAGCTGAAAGAAATCATACTTGTATATGTGCTACAAAAATGTGATAGTTTCTTATACTTGACTAGAATAACTACTATTTACATTTATTTATTACCTGTTATATATCAGCGAATAAGAATTTTGTAGTCCTTTTTTAAAAATTTTATTTAAACACCTTGTATGTAAAGTGTGCACAATAAAGAGTTGTTGTTGTTATTATTGTTGTTGTTGTTATTTTTGCTCGCGAGTAGGCTGACTTGGACCATGCGTGCATGCAGCCAGCATTTACCGGGGTTCCAAAATCATGGAGGAATCATTGAAGTGAATGTGACAACTCAATCCTTCCCTCCATCTTTGCACGGGGTGATCCCATCTCCAGGGTGTGGATTTCTATTTTGAGTTAGTCATAATCGCAATAAGCGTTGTATCTCCGTTGCACACTTCGGCGACGCTTCACCCGGTGATTCACGCGACTTCCTTGTCGCTCATTGTTGGTAGTTCATGGGCTACCAAACGCCGTACCGTGTTTTTTAAAGTCTAGTATCTTCCAAATCGGTTTGATGTCTCTACAAATATGCTCAATGTAGTCTAATAGTGAATAAAGAAAGTCATAGCAGTGAATATCTAGTGTCTGTTGATATCAGTGTTGACGCTCGGCCAATTTTAGCCAATTGCAGTGAAATGGATAAATTGTTCAAAGCTAAGTTCTTAAAGTAGAGATGTCAATTTTTACTCTTATCTAAATTAAAAGTATTTTAGATATACAGAATTCTTTATCTGTAGGAGCTATTATTTGTTGGTATGGCTATTGCTTACAGGATACATCAATATATCTTTGTGATGTACATTCCGCACCCCAAATACAAGAGGAACACATCTCCTAAAATTTGAAAATTGAGATACAACCATGGTTAGAATCCTCGTTTTCCATTACGTAATATGCAACAATGCCATATTTTTAGTTTTATGAATAACGAAGTAATAGAAATTCAATTTAAATTAAATTCCTGCTTTTAAATGCCCTCGAGAAAACTTCCCAAGGCTCTCCTGCGACATGAGTGTTTTTGGAGTTGTGGTCGGTTGCATTAGGAGTACGATTCCCTTTCAACTTATCGCGACCGGATGTGGATTCAGAAAATTCCGGTTAAAATGCAAAACCCTTAAAAATTTATTTTTTCTCGATGGATTTTTTAAACGAGGAAACCATATAAAACGGTATTAATTATGAAGTTACAGTGAGAAATAGCTGTTGACGCTCATGACACGTCCTAACCATTGGTCGTATTTATTACTAGTGATTCCGGGTGCGTAAACTGTTAGGTCATTAGTCCCGTTAGTGTGGTGTATATTTTGCACGGGAGGTGGCAGTGATCTTGCCCCGCAAGATAGCGAGATCCGGCGCTGACCTACCGTCGGCTAGCGGATTTACGCAACTAGGTATCTCCCACCAGTGGGGCACCGCCGCAACCAGGAGAGGCTCTTAGTTCCCGATCGGCCTCTCCGCATCTGTAAAAGTGTAGTGCATGTAAGTGTGTAAAAAGGGTGAGGAAAGGACAAGGAATGGGAAGGAAAGATCGCGCGCTGACGGTGGGCCGTTTGTTAGGGTACTACTCCGGCGTTCCCCTGGAGAAACAATAGAAAACTACCGTGCCGCTAGAATTCTCCTCCAGGCAGCGACAAAACTCGACTTAGCTATCTGGCTAGTGTCAAAAATCCGGCCACCTTCGGCACTCGAACCCTTGGGCCTCCCGATTGGAGTCACTGTAGTGACAGTTAATGCACGAGACATATTTCCCGGTCTGATTTGATCATATTAGTATCTACTTTCTTAGTTATCTTTTGAATGAAATATTCAATCCGTTTATTTTGTTTTGCCTCCGGATGGATTTCTACTTCCTAAGTCAAATGTTGCATTATACTTGTTATTTTTTATTTCAATACGTTATCCCTACACAACTGGTCAGTCTCCCTAGAAAAAAAATATTAACTAGCTGTTAATTGTTTCCTGAATTCTCTTGAATTGGAATGTTACAGAAATATTTTCTGAGAATTCTGTCTGGTTATCAGAATTCAGAGATTAGTGTTCCTGGAGTGCCAATTACATAGGCCTGAGATTAAAAAACTTCATTGAAAATTTCAATTATCCCTTGTGAATTTTTGTATGCTGAAATCGAAAATGTGTACTCCAGCACGCACACTTTTTTCACAAATTGACTTCAATACCTGTGGGGCATTGAGATCCTTCCGAAAATCTTGATCTGATCCTTACTAAAATACAGTACTACAAACCACGACTGGGTGATATGTGAAGACCTGAAGATTTTGGGCATACTTCTTGAACAACAGTCTGGGCATACAAAGTTTCCGTGATTCCTTTGTAAATAGGACAGCGATAGTGCACCACTGGGACCAATCACAATAGGAGTCATTCCACGTCAAATCACAAACTCAAAACATTAATCTTTTTTAGCAACTTTAATTTTTTTAATGAGTTCTTGAGTTGAAAATAGGCGACATGTATTTTTTCTTATTTTCCTAATTTCCCCACCCCTTTCAGAAATATTACCCATCACTCTTTCCTAAGAATCATGCGTGCGCTATTGTTTTTTTCTTCTTTTTTTTCTTCACAAATACCGTTTTATATAGAAAAATAAAATTACACTTAATTTTAACTTAAAAAGATGTAATTTTATGTGATGTAAATACAAGTTTTGTAAATTTATTATTGAAATATTTAAAATATATTTTAATTTTTTAAATGCAAATTTTTACTTTAGATCGACACTTTAATTATAAAAAATACTCATGTATTTCTACACTAATTTTGTATAGATCTGCCAAATTTCAAAGTTGGACACAGAAATAACATTTTAAAAATTAGTTTGTTCACCGGCGCACGTAGTCAGTCCGCTGTTCCCGCCGGACTCGCGACTTGGGGACAACACGACGCATCGTGACGTCCAAACATGATGCAACCGAGAAACTTGTCATGGAGTGGCAGAAACACACATACGGTCTCAAATGGAAGTCTTCTGGCGATATGCTACTAATAAGTTTATTTATAAACAACTGACACTGTTAGGGTCTGTCTGAAACAGAGCAGCCTTGTTTCTCAGATATACTGAGTCAGTTGTGTAAACAGAGGAATCCGCGAAACATTTGCGTTATTCTGTGAAGTTAGTAACCACAGATAGACCTACAATAATATCAATACTATTGTTATTTGCATTTTCTTAATATGAGAGTCTATAATTGCAGAAGAAGTGTACGTTTAGGTTATTTCAACCAGCATTCTTCAGAAGTTAAAAATTTACTGTTTTGCGTAAAAAAGGTTATATTATTGGAAAAACTAGTTTTCAAAATTCCTTCTCGTGACAAATCAAGTGAAGTTTCTTTAAGAAAGCGCAAACTTCAAACTTATTCATGCGCAAATATGTTGGACTGTGAGAATGATAAATAACGTGCACTGATCGCCGTAACGTATCACCTGATATGAGTTAATAAAGAAACTGTCCGAGTAAGTTCGTCATGTGTTTCTTCTGCTGTTTTCACTCATTGTTTACCTTTGCTTTCTTCATGAAACAAAAATAAAATTTGACGTTGGGAATTTTCATTGTCCAGTGAGATTCTTTTAGTAAACTATTATTTGTTTCTTGAAGATGCAATTCAGTGACTGCTGTGAATTAATGACTTGGCTACTCTGCATCCTTTTGTGATATACTTTGTGCAATGAGTTAGGAGTTCGTTTCCACCAAAATATTAAGGAGATAGAAAAGAGATATCAGGGTCGACATACTTAAGAGGAAGAGCAATATTACATCTTCACCCAGAAAATAAAAATACATTACGAAACACTTAATGTTTTTATAAATAAAAATTATTAACTAATTTGTATAATGAAAATTGTGTGTATTATTTGCCAGAAAATGCGTTGGATTTTTTCATATACCCTTAATAAGCATGATAACGTAATGCCGGTTAGCTAAAAAAAACTTCATTGTGCGTTGTGAAAAAACGGTGTGTGATGGGATAAAACTTAGTTCAAATATGAAATCAGAACCCAAAAAACGATACATTTTGTATAAATAAAGAAACATTTATTACCCTTAAATTTGCAGGCATGTGTTATTGGTCACGAAATTTGGCAGGTATCTGTAATGTTAAAATTACGTTGAACTGTACATACATACATACATGTTGCGACATCAAGTCTGTTTTGTAGGTAATACAAATGTATTATCTTCAGAGTTGACAATTTTTGGTACAGTAAAATCATCTAATAGTTTTGGATGGGTAGATAGTATAGTTTTAAACTCCTCGTGAAGTAACATTAAGTTTTTGGATAAAATAATTTTTACGAAATTACGAACACAGATACAAAAAATACGAAAGTTTTTTGGTTGTTCTTTCAATTCTTGGTACGTTACTACGTTACTCAGTATTCCGAAAATCAATATCCACACTTTCGCCTAGATACGACTGTTTGATCGAAGATGCGTATTCTAAACCGTAGTATGAACACATTCGCTTCACTTCGAACTATTCTAATCAGTACTAAGTGAAAAAATGTGTACAATTCTAATTTAGTTTGCTGAAATTTCCAGAATGGTAAGTACGCGACTTCTCATTAACACCAAACTATAATTCTCAATTCACTTTCCTACTGCTACTATTTTTACCCTTACTATTCTTGGTTCATATTACAACTCATTTACAATTTCCTTTCCCTTAGACGAAACAAATATTTTATCGTAAAATTTTCTAATTATCACCGTCATCAATACGCAATTTTGATTATTCTCTTATTGTTCAAAACAACTTAGAATATTTTCGTTTAGTGTTTGTTTTGAATGCCCTATATAATTGGAAATATTAAGAAAGAAAAATAATGTCTTCATTAATAGTGAGTAAAGGCCAGATGGCTTGCAATTCTGTCAGGCTACTTATTGCTCGACATAAATAAACATGACCTGGCTGAAGCAGTGGTACTTCGCAAATGAGAGATAATTTGATACGGTCTGGTTAAATGGAAAAATTGCTAAACCATAATTTACGGGTTGACTCTCGTTTTTAAGGTATCTACAAATTTAATCTTATTAAAAACTGCCCTTACGTAAGATTTTTCACTATAATTAAACGCAGACACCAATTTACGTAAAATATCAAAATTTGAATTTCCTGTAAGTTATACCCAATTATACATAAACAAGTTCATGTAGATAACCATTTGTATTATTACAACAAATGTAATATGTACTCATTAGTTCCTATTACTTAATTTGCACTGAAAGGCAGCTAAGGCACTTACTATTAAAGAAGCTTTAAAGAAATGGGAAGAAAAACATGAAATGAATCCTGCCGATGCAACGGAAGTTCTGCTTTGCTTTCAATGGCCACCAATTGAAAAAATGGACAACTCCCTCGCTGTGTTAACGAACTGCGAGTAAGTACCTACGTTAATTAGATCAAAAATAAATTTCAAATCCCTCTAACTGCCTACAAAATTATAGGAAATTGTCCCTTTCAACAAATATGATTGAGAAGATATCCGGCATAAGCACATTGAAGAACCTAAAAGTATTATCTGTTGGGAGAAATTACATCAAATCGTTTGCTGGTCTGGTAAGAGAATTGTCTTTACAACGCTCGTAGCGTAGAAATTTGTCACAATAATCACAAAATTTTTGTTTCCTTTCTAATCCAGGAAAGTCTCGGAGACACTTTAGAAGAACTCTGGATTTCCTACAACTTAATCGAGAAAATTAAAACAGTTAATTTCTTTAAAAAGTTGAGAGTTCTCTACATGTCCAACAACATCGTTCGAGATTGGTCAGAATTCATGAAATTTCAAGAAATTCCTAATCTGGAGGAGCTGTTATTTGTTGGTATGGCTACTGCTTACAGGATACATTAATATATCTTTTTGCAGTACACTCCCTCTTAACTTGTGACCGGATACGGATTATGAAAATTCCAGTTAAAATGCAAGTCTCTTAAAAATGTATTTTTTCTCGATGGATGTTTTTTTAGAGGAAACCATATACAAACGATATTAATTATGAAGTTAAAGTGAGAAATAGCTGTACAAAGACACATTTCGGTTTCGTTTCCTAGTCGAACTCATTTTCAAATCAATGAAACGACTACACAGAAAAATATAACAAAACTAAAGGATTTCAACATAAGAATGATTGGTGTCTTTACCAAATAACATGAACTTGCGCCACAGTAAAACAAAGCAGCAAACATTTTTTTCGTGGCAAGCATGTGATTCAGGAAGAGGTGGGGCACGCATTCAGTCAATCCGGTTCCGTTTAAGAGGGTGGATACTATACATTTAGATAATGTGCACTAATTCATATTGTATAGTAACTAAATTGTAATTGATAAGCAGGCAATCCATTGTACGATTCTATGGAGGAAGCAGCGTGGCGAACAGAAGCAATAAAAAAACTACCAAATTTAAAGAAATTGGACGGGGAGCCAGTTATTCGTGACGACTCAGCTCCCGAACAGTAAATCAATAGCTATGACACAAGGCGATTCCAGGAAGTATTTCTGGGACGAAAGAGGGACACTTTCTGTTGAGAACACCCACTCTAAATATTTATGAAATAATAAAACACATTTAAAAATGTAATTAAAAAAAACCTTCAAATTGGAAATACTCCTTTGGACGTGATGCAATACATTTATGGTAATTATTTTGAATAAAATTACAAAGAAATATTGCATTTCAATAGAAGGTCCCCACCCCCAAATCCACCATTATTGTGAGAAGTAAAGTTTCATAGGACATCCCGTTTTGTACTTCTCTATAAAACTCAGTACGATATACATAAATAGTGACTGGCTATTTTTCGTCGTGAATTTTCATTCGTTCAAAACATCATACGTCAAGATTTATTATAAGTATACGCCTTCTTCTAAATAGATTTCAACATTAGCATTGAAAACTCCGTTCACGCTGTAGTAAGTCACTTAAGTCTAGAAAGTACAGAATACTCATTGCCTTGGCATATCTGCAAAGGCAATATGAACCATTTATCCACTGCTAGTAAAATATCGGCTTAACTTCGGCAATCGATAATCTGCGAAGAAATAAACAACAAAAATACCACAACTACCCTACTACTTCTAGTAATAATAGTTTTTTTTTAGTTTGATGGCATGCCAACTATGATCTTTAGCCTTAATAATATTTGTTTTAAGCTACATGTACATCCAATGATGAATTTAAGGTGGTTAGAGCGAGATATTCCCTAGTAGATAGAGTTCAATTACGTTGAAAACTGAATTCTCGGCTATCCGGGAGACGCCGCGTCGTTGGCTGGGGTGCCGACGTTTCGCCTGACATGTCGCAGACTTCCTCACTGCCCTGAGGAAGCCTGCGACATGTCAGGCGAAACGTCGGCACCCCAGCCAACGACGCGGCGTCTCCCGGATAGCCGAGAATTCATGGATTCGAGTCGCGGAAGCTTACGTATATACATTGAAAACTAATTATTTGCGATATAAGTGGGTATTGTGAGACCTACATAAACAAAATAGAGACGTTTATGCTGAGTTTTATTTAATTATTCAATTAATTTCGTTTCATAGAGGTAAAATAGAAATATTTTAATACCATATAAAGAGGTACCGTTGAATAGTTTATTAACTAGTATCAACAGATAGCGTGGCTAAGGAATGAAAAATTGAAGCATAAGATTGAATATAAAAAAAACGCTAATGCACAATTAGTACGAGCAAAATCATAAAAAGTAATATTATAGACACATATCTATATATTTTTGTACAGTTATCGCTAATAGTGGCAAAAATTTCCATTATATCCTTGAGATTGGCATGACTGCTCACGGCATCGGCTTCTTCAAAGTTTTGTTGTTTTGAATCACTTTGAAACTATTGCCTGGTCGATACGCGGTAAACATCACAATCTGAGCGAATTTGCGGAAGGTTTATTTCCAAAGCGGAATTTGAGAGATAACGACATTATTCCCCCAATATCACGAGAACAGTGATGTAATAAAGTTTTCAAATATATTTTCAATGTTTGTTTCTCTCTAATTTTTAATTCTTGAATTACCTGAGCCAATGGTAGGACACACCTTTGGTTATTCGATTGCTTGACAACAGGATTAAAACTTTTGTTTTCTCCAACATTGAATAAAGGTTTATATTTAACTTGACAGAAATCATAATAATTGACTCCTACAGCTCCTTATTATCCTTCATATCGTGATAAAATTTTCTGTTTTCCCCTATTTTATTTTTGCTTAGTTAATTAAACTGCATGATCAACTTATAATGTTTTAATAAATTTGATTGAAATTAAGAACTACTTTTGCAATTACAATGTGCCATATTATTTCCAGCAGTGCGATTATATAATACATAGAAACTATTAGCTGGTTTTCAGTATAATTTAATATCATGTTATGATATTAATTTAGATCCAGATTATTGTGTAAAGTACATATCAAACTAAAGCTGATAAAATGAAATTACTGCATCATATATTCTGAGAGCTGTATTATTGAGACCTTCATTAATAAAATTATAACATTGATGGAGATAAATAAAATCTTCAAAAGAGATTTCCAAGTGGCATAGTCTTTTGTAATCGTTTGTCTTGATGTTTCACTCAAAATGAAAAGAAGTTTAAATATTTTGAAAATAAGACATGAGAATCATTGAAAATGCATTACTACTATTCAGGAAATGCAAACAATTAGATAAAATATAGTGCTGAAGAGAAAAGGGGTTTCTATTATAATACTAAAACTAGCAAAGGCAAAATATATCATTCCTCTTACAAGTTCAATAAAATGTAATTATTAAATATGCCCATGGGAGGATTTAGATACTGTAGGCCTTAAAACACAAAACTATACTGGGTTACTCTTTCAGAAAAATCTTTAAAACTAAAAAAACTAATTATGAATAAATCTAAAAAACACTAATTATGATAGAATAAATTATTGTTCCAATACACATGGGAATTAGCAAATTGGTTACAAAGTAGAAATTGCTTTTTAAATTCCTCATTTACAAATACATGTTTAATTTTTTATTGTTCATTCAATTTATTTTAAAAATCAAACATTGTTGTTAAGTAAACTATTTGATTAATGATTATTCACATAAAAACATTTAATGAAGTTTTTAATATTCATTTTCAAAAAAATCCGGGCACGGGATGGGAGTCCCAAGTCTAATTTTGCTAGGAGGAAATCCAGTTCTGCATTCACGTATACCTTGAATGGTTGATATTAACACCAACAAAACAGTATTTTATCATTGCAACAAATTTGAAGCCACTAAAATGTCTATTTCTGTATGAATTGAATGCCCACTCAGTAGCTCTACAGATTGAGGTGTTGATCTACGCTAAAGATTGCTGCTTTGAGTCCTGTGTAAGCAACTGTGATGCAAAAGGCAATGACAATCCATAATAAAAAAGAGAATATGAATAATTTTCGTATAATTAAATAAATAATAATTGTCCAGGAGCAAAATACGGCACAATACAAAATAATACTTACTGGATGTTTAAATAAGTCTATAAACTCACGATAACCGATTTTCTCAAAGGAAGTAGTATAAAAGTGAGTCATTGGGAATAACAATTCAATTAAGATTTTCATTCAAATCGGACTAATCATTATATCCATCAAATTCCAGCTTTTCTGAATATCTGGTTACTTTGAAACGCAATGTTCTCCAAGAGTGAGGAAATTTTAATTGCTCCCAGCTCTACAGGAAGTTCGAACTCTGGCAGAGCGCTCGATTTGAATGAAGCGCGTTGCGCGCGGGGTGTTGCCGAGTTGCGCGTCACAGTCCCGACCCTCTGGAAATCTCGCGAACGTCTCCCTTTGGACTGAATTAGGCTTATAATTTTGCAAAATTCCCCCATTTGAAATGGTAGATGTCCTTCAAATTGCGTATCTTGATTCTTAGAGATGCTAGCTACAAAAAAAGTTTTAAAAAACATGTTCAACACTTAATTTTCTCACAATTTTAAAATCTCAGGTCAGATCTGTCAGGTCACTATAAGAGCCCATGTTAAAACAGCAAACTTTACGGTCTCGTTACGCGAAAACTAGACGGAAATATCGACTCAAACTCTACCAGAACATAGAAGGTCCTCTCATCTTTCGATTAATAGAATAAAAAAAGTCATGTTGAACTTAACACCTATCTCGCCCTAACCCCTTTCAGGATAATATAACCGTGTTTAGCACAGTCTTGATTTCGGGATCTTATTCAGGGATGGCCATTTTATAACACTAATAGTTTTAGTTAACTTGGTTTTTTTCAACATTTTAACTGGAAGTTTCAACTGTCCACATTAATAGATTAAAGAAATAATAGATTTTTCGTTTGTTCTTAAAAAGTCAAAGTTTCAACATTAAACGTATTATTTACATTGCCATAGGTCCAATATAATTTATTTTTACGATTCAGTGTAATAAAAAACGAACATGTATTACACGTTGTATAATACGTGCTATTTCACCTATAAGTGCAGGTATAATAATGACCTACCAGTACACAAACGGAAAACTAAAATACCAGTGGCGGCTCGTGCGAGTTTCTTAAGAGGAAGCTAGTCAGTTGCAAATACTACTACATTAAAAGTAAAATACCATATTAGTTGGGTGTCATTTAAATAGGCTACGCATAAAATGTCAATTAAACTGGACACAATATGTCGAAGACGTTACTTCATTGTGCTTTGTATGAGAAAAAACCGTTGCTTCGCTTACTACTAGATCAAAACAATATATTTTTTGTTTTACCAAAAAGTGTTTATTTTTTGCGAAAACTCAAGATGTTCAATGACTATCGTGGCTCTTGAATTCCGTGACAAATTTTTAATATCACTGAAACTATTACACAACTAAACTACTTGAATTTAAAAATAGAATGCATGGAGAACTCAGAAGAATTTGTCTTTGTTCGTACGTTGTTAACCAGGGCGCTTTGTTAACCCCGCCGCCTTTATTATACCCGCAACTGCAGGTTTCTCCCAAGCCCGTGCCGCATAAAAGTTCAGGTAGTGTCGGAGTATAACGTCCTTTCTGTACAACAGCAAAATGTTCTAGGGAACTGGTTTCACAATTGACCAAATATTATTTTAAAATCATTCTTGCCCATTTTTACACGTTTAAAGAAAACTAACAATTCTAGGAAAGATGCTAAGATCAGCAAAGCATAGTTGACTGTCATAATATGAATCAGGTTGTGAAGAGAGCGCAAGGTGAATACTTTTTCTCTAGGCAATCCCCTTTCACTTATTGAACGTTAAAATGCTTTGTAATCAAATTAGACGGTTCGTCGCCTTGGGAATTGAAAAGGGAGGAAGAGACGTATCGACTCCATCTGCCCTTTCACCTGCGTATCCGCCTGCCTAAAATGTGACTGAAATAAGATTTCATTGTGTGTCTGCCGACGTACTAGCCGTTGGGTCCGACATGACTCATGCGTGTGTGGGCACCCAGTGTTGTTCGGATTTAAATAGACAAGAGATGGCAGTTTACAGGAGGAACTGCTCTTCTCAGGCAATACCTCCTAAGTCACAGTGGCATTGCCTGACGCCGTACGGCTGCATTAAAAATCTTTCCTCTTTGGAGCATATCAGCAGTATATCTACGGACTACTACTTAACTTCGATTTAAACATAGTGGCACTTCAAGGTCGC